GGGGGGCTGGCTCTATCCTCCCCTTTCTGCCCCCCAGAAAGCTCTGGACACGAGGGGGACAGGGTGAGATGGACCTGGAGACCCCAGGGCTGTGGGTGTCAGGCGGTGGTCCAGCTGGAGGGATGGGTGGGAGATGCCGCCAAATATTTAACATCCCCTCGATCGACATGGAGGGCCGTGCCGGAGGGACGTTTGCCCCGGAGCCGTGCAGAGCAGGGGCAGGAGGGGCTGGGCACGGCCGGGGCAGTGCACTCGCTCGGCAATAAGGAGCAGCACGCGATCTTCCTGGCCTCTTTGCAACGCTCCCCCCTGCACAGCACCGGCTCAGGCTGTCGGCAGCATCTCCCCACCATCAACAGCAGCCTGGCAAAAGGGGATGACCTGCCACCACCTCTGAGCTGCCAGGGGCTTGTACCCCCCCATGCTGTGTGCCAGAAACGGGTGATACTGGGCAGTGCTGAAGCAGCTTCAGCATCTCCCATCCTTTTGTCCCGCAAACCTCACCCAAGAGCGCTCGAGGTCTCACTTTTTGTCCCAATTCCAGCTCGGCAGTGCTCATTCTTCAAGGAACGACAATGGCGGGAGGATTTCTCCGTGTTGGCTCATCCACAGAGGTTCACCTGGGCACACAGCAGCATTGCAGCTAAGGCTCCTTACAACAATCATGGGAAAAAAGGGTGGCAAAGGAGAGGCAAAATTTCCTCGAGAGAGGAAATCGGGAGCTGAACCCAAACACCCTGTTTCCAGAAACACCAATCATGGCAAACACGCCACAGCTCAGTAATTATTCAGGGATTGCCAGTGCCCCAGTTCCCGAGACGCTGACTGTACAAGAATGTTGCTGTAGCTTAACAGCACGCCGCAAGGAAGCAAAACAGGAAGGCCAGGCCGCTTGCTTAAGATAAGTCACCTTAGAGCAACGGGCAAGGTTGGCTGGGGACAGCCGTCGCCTTGGCCGGCCTTCTGGTACTTCACCAGCTCGGGGGGGTTGGCCAGGCCAAACCCCGAGGACAAAGGGAAGCAGCAGAGACCTCATGGGGACTCTGCAGGGAGCTGCCGGGGCATCTGGAGCAGATGTCACCTATGCCGTGGTTGAAGCGCTTCCTTCCTTGCCTTACGGCTCCGCTCCTGTCCCAAGACCGAGGAGCTGGATTGCCAGCACAGCTGGTCACCCCACACCTCCCCATTAACAGCCCCTGATGGGAAAACCCACCGGCACCTCGCCTTGGTGAGCTGCAAGAAGGAAGCCCGGACCATATGTGGGGTGGAAAAGGGAATTTCGGAGCTGCGGAGGGAAGGTAACCAGAACGTGGTCCTCCTGGGACCACAGGAGCTCAGCACCTTGCTCCATCGGGGTTTCTGCAGAGGGATGTGGTTTCAGCAGCATAAACACATTAGAAGTAATGGTTTGTACTGGTGAGTGATCTTCATTGCTCTGGAGCCTCTGGGAATAACAGCAGGAGAGAGCTGCTATCCCCACGTGTTCCAGGAATGGGGACTGAATACTGGGTCCAGCACTGATAAGGATGGGGGCTACAGCCAAAACACCTTTGGACTCCTGGACCTCCAGAGCTTTCCTCTGGAAGGAGGCAAAGGGCAGCTGAGCTTTCTCCATGGCAATCTCAGGCAAAAGCTGCATCCCAAAGGAGCAGCTCCGGGTGCCTGGGCCAGCTCTGGCCCCTTAGCAAGTGACGGAAGTCAGTAGGCAACGCTGAACATTTCCCACCACTAAAACCCCGCTTGCTTTCTGCAGGGCTCCCAGTTAGCACCCTCAGCCCCACCCTCGGCAGCACCCTCAGTGCTCTCACGGGCTTTGCACAGAGCGCCATCTCCTTGGACAGCTCGATTTGCTTCTCTTCTTCCTTCTGCCCTGGCTTCCCTCACCTCCAGAGCAAGGCGTGTGCTTACCCCTCCCCACCCAGCTGCAAAACAGTTACCGAAGCTTTAAAGGATTTTAAGATCCTCAGTGGGGTTTGGGTTTTTTGGTTTTTGGGTTTTTTTATTTTTTACAAAGACAATTTTAAAGCCTGTTGCCCCCAGGACACGCTGCCTGAGCCAGGGCTCCCAGAAAGCCCCAGCAATTAGGGAGGAACGGGAGGGAGCGTGTTGGTGGGTAATTACCAGCTGGTTAAGTTGGTTTAGTTCTGCTGTGGGTTCAGTTCTGCTGCGGGTTACGCTGCAGAACAGTTTAGATTCATTTGCGTACTAAAGTTTCAAGCCCTTGCCCGGGGGCCTGCAAGTTTAGAAAGGAGCTATTTATTCAAGTAATTACTTAAAAAAAAATTTAAAAATGTAATCCTCTGGGTTAGCAGATCTCAAGAAATGCTTTGCAAGAGGTTTTCGTTGTGCCCTGAAAACCCAACCACCTCCAGCGCCTCAGGTCAGCGCTCCGGGAACTCAGCTTCTGCGTCTTCAGAAGAGATTTCTGCTGGGAGCAGACAAGGGGCAGCCAAGCACCAACACACCTGAAATGCGTGGAATGGGGAAAAACAGCGGCCAAAAACCTGGAAGTCTCATTTTCAACCCTGATTTCATTACTAGCAGGTGGCTGAGATCAGTATGTGATGTTTGAGCGTGTTTGGTTACAGTGAAAACTTTTCGGAAAGCTTTGAGATAGAAATAAAGCAATCGCAACGTAAAATAAATTAAAAAAAAAAAATCCTTCTGCAAACATTCAAACTGCTTTAGAAGCAGTGGATAAACCACAGAGAGGAGGAAGCATGTGCTAGCAGATAAAGGCAGGAGCCAGCCACTTCTTACCCAAGGTCTGGCCGGGAATTGCAAAAAATTGCCCGCAACCCGTTTGCAATCGTCGCCACAGCTCTGCCAGGGCAGAGGCAGAGCGGCCCCTTGGAGCCGCAGCACGGGAGGTGGAACGCGAGGATCTGCGCCCGGCTCCCGCTCTACCCGCTGACTCGGAGCCCAGCCTTTGGCAGATCAGCTCTCGCCTATCTCCCGACCTGCCGTAAACGAGGATAACCGGGCACATTCCAGGGAACGGCAAGGATCGCGCTGCGCTCAGCAGAGATAAAGCACCCGGTAAACGCTGAGTGCCGCTGGCACAGTGAGGCAGCGCTAACTGGGAAAGAGGAGCCAAGCTACTGGGCAAGCCTGGCACCCGGCAGCCTGTGAGCTTGCAATTTGGGCACCTCTCATCTGAAAAACATGAGCTGAAAGGAGGGATGAGGAGGAAAAGGCCGCAATGCAGTGCCCAGCTTGGGCGGCCACCAAGCCACCCGGCGCAGAGGAGACGCCGAGCAAACCCTGCTGGGTTTGCACCCGGGTATCCCCAGCAGCTTCTGCCTGGGGGGCATTTTTGGTCTGAGGCAGCACTTGTACAGGGAGTCCCTCTGCGCCGCAGCGACTCGGCGAGGCTGCAATCGCTTGGGCGCCTCAAGCTCCCTGGCCAGGGCTCTTGGCTCGGTCAGACGGCTGAAATCCGGCAAACCCGGGATGAAAACCCTGACCGGTGCATGTCAGCCTCTGCTTTCACAGGCAGGAGAAGCCAAAGAGATGGGAAGAACCACCAAGAGATTGGAATAGTGCTGACGAGAACGATTTCATAGAACCTATTTTTCTTCCCCGTATTTAGCGATGAATTTGGGTATTTGTCACAACCGATGATTCCCAGAAAAGCGGCTATTTCCTGCATGCAAATCCAGGCTTTGAAAAGTATAATATGGGAAGACTATTTGGAGCTAGAAAAGCCATTGCGGTGTTTCAACAGAGCTAGGGTTTGCCTTTTCCCACCCAGCGCTCCGGGAACAGACGTTCAAGGCCACGGCAGCAGCGCTGCTGGTGGCACCAGGAAGCTGCTCCGACAGCACAACGGGCTGAACTGCGGCGCCCACGAGGATAGGGGCGTTTCTCCAGGTGGAAATCTCTGGAGAGGTTTTAGCTACAAAATTTCTGCTGGCAAATTAGATGCTTTGAAACAAAACAAACCAAAACCCAAACTGTTTTCCCTCCAGACTCATGGCAGAGATGAGGGGAAGACTTCAGAGACACAAACCGTGTTTGCTCACCTCATTTGCATCTGTGTTTTAAAATAAAGAATGCTCTTACCCTCTTGTCCTTTTGTTTCCTACCAAGACTGTATTTTTTTCTGCCCTCTGTCTTCCTTCATGTGCTTGGGGAAGAAAATAAGAGAACGGATCTCGTCGGATACAGCCGGACGGGTCCCGGGAAGCTGGAGGTAACCAAGTAACGAGGATCCTAGCAACAGGCTTGATTGGGAGGATTTAAAGATAGAAACAAAAGTAGGAGCGAAGCAAACAATAGAAAAATGCCGTCTCCTTCCCATACGCACCCCGAAGCAGCACGACCAATGCTTCGACCAGGCAGCCGCCAGCAGGAGATAAATCAGTTCCAGGCAGGGAAAGACGCTTTGGTCGCTTGCTTTTTTTTCTTGAAGGCAAAGAGAAAGCAGCAGACACGGATGAGGCTTTTTTAAAACACTTTTACAGTTGTCAGAGTTTTGTACAAATCAAAGCATCCCTTTTAAAATCTCCATTATTATAAACATACAAAGAAACGATGTTATTACTACAAATCATCAGCTACTCAACGCATGATCAATTTATCACAATTAGAAAAAAAAACCCAAGAGCATACACAGGGCCTTCCTCCCTTGCGCGATTTCTGCATCTGGAGGGAAGCGCAAAAGCAAAGTCCTCATTTAAAAAAAATCCCAACAACGCACCTCATTTTCTAAAAACGCGTGAAGTATAAAATCCGGTGAGCATTTTCCTGCTGTCACACTCTGGCAAAGTGTAACAACTTTTTTTTTTTTTTTCTTGTTTTCACATCAGAAGTCTCTTAAAAAAAAAAAGAACAAAAAAACCCACATGGCCGAGTGTCTGATGCGGCAGCGTGCTCCTTCCATGCCAGAAGCCAACATCATCATCAAAAAAAAGTGCCTTTGAGTAAAGTCATCTTTAGTAACAAAAAAAGAAAGATGAAAAAAAAATAAAATAAATCCACAATCTCTAGTTAAAAGCTTAATAAAAACCCTGACAGAGCAACCGGCCCTGCATCAAAAAGGACGGTTTCGCCTCTTCGCTACCCACCTTCAGCCGCCGCTCCAGACTTAAGGTTTCGTTCCCTGCTCCTCCGCCCCGAGGGTCTCCAAACCCTGAGATGTTTCTTCACACCCTGAATGGAGCTCGGTGCGGGGAGGCGGAGGAGCTCCTGCCAGCCGAGAGCTGTGTGGTGCTTTGCCCCTCGCAGCAGCCAAGTGCTTTTGATCCCCCCCAACGCCAGGAGACACGCGGCAGACAGAGCCTGGGGTCTGCTGGAGGGGTCTGTGGTCTCTGTGCTGCTTCCGAGAAGCACATCCCTGTTCCAGGGAACTTTCATAGCCCTTTTTTTTAAAATTTTTTTTTTTTTATTATTTTTTTTATTCTGCTGGCTTTTAATCAGCAGTGAGAAATGTCCCTGGAGAGCCCCAAGAAACACTCCCCAGCTTGGGTTGCTGCCTGAGTAAGCACTTTCCTGGGAGCCAACCTGGCCCCTATTTCTGCATCTGGAAAGGAGCAATGGGGCAGGGAAAGGGGGAGAAGAGGGCGAGCTCAGCCCAGGGCCTGAGGGGAGCAGAGGGAACGTCCCAGTCTCAAACTCTGCTCATGTAAAAAAATGGAGTAGGAGACGCTTGATCACACCAAGCTACAGAAGTCATCAAAGCCCCAAAGGTCACTAAGTAACCAGGGCACTGGGGTGGGGGCAGAATATGGGGTAGATTTGGGTCTGTATCGGCTCCCAACCCAAAAGCTATCATAACAAAACAAGAAAACAAACCCAGGCAGTTCAGTTTGCCAAGCTGACATAGAAAAGAAGAAAAATAAACCAAAACCAAAACAAAAAACTTCCAAGATAAATACAGAGCCCCCATTTTGGAAGCATCTTCAAAAAGCTGGATCAACCGTTCTCAGCAGTGGCACAACCTTCCAGTAACATCTGTTGGGCTGGTGATTTATCGGCTTCCTTTTGAAGAGGGAACAGTTCAAGAAAAATCAAGCTCCCACCACACGCGGCTCCCGTCTTATCTGCGCAACAACTGGCCACGGCTATTGCCTCACAGCAGCAGGTTTGGAACCAGCAAGAAGTCTCTAATGCAGCAGGTTCCTGTTTGCTAATGGAAAGGGTTGGCAGTGGTAGCAACTGGTTAGGAAAAAACTTCTTCCAGAAAGCAGTACTTCGGGGCGGGGGGTGGGATTTAGGATGGCTGGGACCTCTCCCCATGGATCACCGTGATACAGACCGGTATTCAACAGAGAGCAAAACCAGGCACGCTCAAGCATGCTGTCGAAAGGCAACACACGCCAGGCGTTTCCATCGAGTCCACGGCAGTGAGATAGTGACAACACTGAGGTTTTGGCTTCCAGCGATCAGGCAGGCCTCCTAGACTCCTTGGCTAATGCTGGGGAAAGCTCCCAGAGAGGGGGTTTGGTTCTAAGGGGAGGTTATTGCTCCCGACTTCTCAGGCTTTTTGCCCTTCGATAGGGCAGCTGCTTGCTTCAGGAGTTCTCTGTTCTTGGCCTGGAAACACAGCGAAAATGGGTATTTAATGGCAGGGATCATCATTAGTTCTCGGGATCCTAGAATTGCCTGGACAGA